TCCCCCCTTCCCCCCGTGGTTTTTTTTTCTCTGCAAAATCCAGGGTGTTCTTTTTAGGTTCCGTGGGAAGCTTAAAGTTTGCGCTGCGTGAAACTTTTTAGTTGGTTTATATTGCACCGCTGGAAGCTGGGAGGCGATGGAAACGAGCGCAAATTATGAGATGTCCTTGCTTTTGAATATGTAAGGCAAGGAGGAGCTCTACCTTTTCACTCCCACCCTGCGAATTTCCCACCGTTTTTCCCGCCTTTTTCCCCGAGTTGTTTGCTTAGTTTATTGTTGCCATTGTTGCTGCACGTGAGAGGTTGCTGATTGGGGAGTCCGACTGCAGTCGAAATGAAGTGCCAATCAGTGCCCACCCACCTGGGGTTCAGGTCCACCTTCGACCTTCCGCCACCTGCACATACAAAATATACAAAACACACAAAGCAGACAAAACATACACAACAGACACAGCACAAACAGCCAACTCACAAGTCATTCCGGCCATTTTTCTCGGGGAAACGGGAAAGCGGGAAAGCGGGGGAAAAACTGTCTTAAGACTTCCCGGGGACTCGTGATTAACGTGATTCTCGCTGGCTCACAGGGGAATTTATTTGATGATTGCCATTTACAAAGCATATTTTTGCTGTAATTATCATTCCTCCTTACGCAATTCCAAGCTTTCCAGACGAAAAGAATTTATTACTCCGCATTTAAATACATTACTATTCGTTATTATTTCTTATTTATTTAGGTTTTTTGAAATGTCAAAAAATGTATAACTCTGAATGTAAATAAATTTCTATTCTTTATTATTTTTTATTTATTTATTTAGTTGCTGGATTATGTTGCTAGATTTATTTTAATTTATTCCTTATCATTCAGTTAATACTTAAAACGTTGAGAAAAATAAATTTGTGTTATTTTAATTTTTTTATTTATTTATTTTAATTTATGTGATGTTGGGTTCTACATTTAAATATTTTTGTTATCTATACTTTTTATTTATTACTGATTATTCTGTAAATGCAACGTTTTTATTTAACTTAATCTTAATTCTTTTGACTAAAACCTTCAAACCCACATCAACAACTCACTTTCAAAAGTAATGCAATTAATATATAATTCATTTTCACGTGTTTGCCTGCCATTTAATTTGATTTCAAATTTAAAGGCAAATATTTTGCTGGCAAGTTGCAGTCCCCCGATGCTCTACCCACCACCCACCCTCACCCTCATCCATATCCCTCCTCCTCCGATGGCACAGAAACCTGACTAATGACACTTCCGTGATGCTGGCCAGAAATTCGCGCTAAATAAATTGAGCCCGGCGAAACGAAAGCCGGCGAAACGCAGGCAAGATAGTGCAAATAATAATCACATTAAATTAGAAAATTCTGCACTCATAATTTTGCTCATTTTGCTGCTTTTTGCTGCTGTTGCTGTTGGATTTTCCTGCTTCCTGTTCGCCTCGTTCGCCTGCCAGGGGCCACGCCCCCTTTTTTGGCACACAAAAGGGGGCGGAGAGAGGCGGAGGAATGGATGCCAAAAAAGCCAGAGGCATATTTGAAATGGCTGTAAACCGGCAACTGTTTTTATGCCGTGCTGCTAGCCAGGGTCGTCGAATTGGGTTGGGATTTTCCGAGGGGGGTCACTTCATTTGGGGCCTCGGAAAACAGCAGAAACGCGAAATTGTGGCAGCTGCTGCAGTCGAAGTGAATCTGAATCGGAATCGGAATCTGAATTGGTTTCAGAGAGTATATATTGTAGCACACAATAATGGCTTCAGATCAACCATCCCCTTACGATTTTTGAAGCACTGAGCGGCGGAAATCATTTTTGGAGCACCATAAATTGCTTCGCTTTTTGGATGAAGGGATGAAGGGAGCTCGGAAAGGGGGTTAAGGGATGAGCACTTGAAGGATGAGCAAATCTGACTGAAATCAAAATGCAATCAAATTTATGCACAACAATATTTGGCGAGCTCAAGGATTGCCAAAAGTAAAGTATGTGAGTGAGTTTGAGTTTTTCGCCAATTACAATGGAAAGATGGAGAACTTTGTGAGAGATTCCCTCTACATTTTCCACTTTTACTCATAAATATTTTGTGTTTTTCTTCTCGTTTTGGCTACAATAAAAATATGTAGCTTTTGATTATCAGCTCAAACGATTGCCTTGGTATTCCAAAGGCAATCTAGAGGATTTGATGAATATTTATTGATTTTTAATTTGTAGTTTCTGCCTTTAAGGTATTCAAGTTCGCTTAAAGGGCATTTTATGCCTTTGGTTATTATTTAATTTATATTGCCGGGCATTTATTTTGGCCCTATTAAATGGGCCAAGGCAGTCGCATTCGCAAAATCGCAATCGCAGTCCCCCGACTTACATTCTCACACATTTCCTTTGCCAAATGATTTGGCCTGCCGCCAATGCAACAAAAATGCACAATTTGCAATTGTACGGAAAACAGAGGGAATATCTCTTTATATAAGAGTGGGTTGGATGGGTGGAAAAGCGGGTGGGAAGGCGGAAAAGCGGGAAAACAGGGGGAACAAAATGCACAATCCTCTTTTTGGCGTTTGGCATCCGCCGCATAAAATCAAAATTAATTTGCTAATAATGTTGTCGTAATTATCTAATTGCCTTCACATGCAATTGGAATGCCCAGAATGCAGCGTGCAAATTGTACAACAAATTCATTAACAGACCCAAAAAGCCGCACAAAATAATTACAGACTGTGTTGCGTAATGACTAAACCAAACAAAAATACTTAAATGGCCGTAGAAAAATATAGGAAACACAGAAAAAAGTTCCTGAAATGATGGCCCAAACATGCCAAATTTAGGGTTATTCATATCGTTGCAAGTGCATTATAATTAAATACAGGCTATGCAATGCGAATTGCGGTTCCCCTGAAGCTAATTACGTAATTAGTACAACGAAAATATGGTAAAAACAAGGAAAATGTATCTAAAATCAGCGCATAACCATTAAAGATCTGGCATTTCAGTCTTAAATCAATATTCAATATTCTGCCATCCGTCTGATTTTCAATTCCCAGAGCAAAACAAACTCAAACACGCTGCCATCGTTAGTGGTAATGCATAAAACCAGCAGCTCGGAACAAATAATCATAGGGACTAATATATGTCCACCCATTGGGTGAGTGAGTGTGGGTGTGTGGGTGATTTAGAGTGGAACTCTCGAGTAAACTGAATTTTGAAACAAAAGTACAATTAAATGCTGCACATCGAAAGAGGCTGCAAAGCCAGGGAGAGTCCCTTAAAATAATTACAACTGGCAGGGCGTAGAGAACGAATTCACTTCGTTGTGGGTTTGTGCAGAGAGAGAAAAGTTGTATTTCTTGCATTCTATATTTCAAATTAAATTAATATTAATTTTAAATATTTTAAATGGATTTAGGTTCTTTGAGACGCCGGGAGTTTGTAAATGCGGGTCTAAGTCAACAATCCGAAATACTAATTACCAATTCTATAGTTCAATTGTCATTTAAGGAAACTTAAATAATATTTTTAAAATTAAAATTTTAAATATTTAAAATACCTAAGTTCTTATCACAGTGCATGTTTTCGAGTGTGTCTAAGCAGGAAATATGAAAATGTGCAGAGGGAAAAGGGAAAAGGCAGACTGACAGGGGGACATCTGCTCCCTATCTCCCATCCCGATTCCCGATCATCCAAAATTTTCGATTCCAATTCGCATTTAAACATGCAGAAGCCAGGCTGAAGTGGTGAGAGCGAGGCGTGTGTCCATGGGTGGCCGTGCATGTTGGTCAGCCCCGTCGGTTCGTCGGTACGTCGGTAGTATGTAAATGCGGGCAGTGGGACAAAGTCAACACAATCCGAAATACCAAATCCCAAATCCTCAATGGCGGCCCCGCATCCACACGCACACACATTTTTCGGCAGCCCGGCGATTGTTTCGCGCCATTGCCGCAGACCACAGGCGATGTCAACGTTCCGAAACCCAAAATCCCAGAATCCTTTTTCCCGCACCCAAAATGCGATGCGTTTGTTGATTTGTCGCCCCGCCCCCCCTTCTGCCCCGCCCCTGGCAGCGAGTTAAGCGGCGCGTAATTATGGCCAACAGTTAAGAGCCGTCGAGGGGGTTGGGTATTCGCCATAAAACTCAAAGAGCATGCAGGAGCGAGGAGGCGTTGGCCGGGACTTATTGGGGAGTCCCACCAAAGGCAGTGGGCCACGACGGTTCGACAAGCTAAACAGCAATCAAACACTAAGCAAAAGTTATTAAAAAAATAAAAAAAAATATTAATGCAAGATATTAAAGAAATATAAAAAGGGACAGACAAATATTTAATAGTATTATAAAGCAGGAAATTAATAAAGAAATAATAAATATGTATTATTTAAATTACTCCTATAATAAACTAATAAATAAATAAGAAATATTTATTATTAAACTAGCTCAGAAAATTAATAAATATAAATCATAATAAATAATAAATATAAGCAAGATATTGAAAATAAAAAACGTTAAAAGAAAGAGTAAAAACGGACAGGAAAATTATTTAAAGATCAGTGGAGCAGGAATAATAAGTAACTAATAAATATTTATTGTTTAAGCTGTAATTAATTAGCTCGGACTGTTTTCTAGTTATGGTAAATATAAAGAAAGCGATATAATATTTTGTTTCCTATCTTAATTATAAAACCATATATTTAGGCATAGAAATACTTTCAGTGCAAGAGCGTTGGTCCAGCCACATTCGATTTCAATTTGGCATTTAAATTGTTTGTCGTACGACAGTCTCCGGTGGCTTGTGTGTGTGCGAGTGTGAGTGCGGCGGGAAGGATGTGCTCCGCAGTGTCCTGTAATCGGGCAGCAGGAGTCAAATCGATGACTAAGCACGCTATTAAAAGCCCCAAAAGTCAGTTGGCGCTGCACTTTGGAGGCTTCTCTTCGCCACTTCCCGCCACCCCATTTCACCTGTCGCCAGCCGCTGGACTAAAAGCCTCCTTTTTCCTTTTCGTCCTTGCAGGTGTCCTGGGTGCGGCACAGGGATATACACCTGCTGACCGTGGGCCGCTACACGTACACCTCCGACCAGCGCTTCGAGGCCATGCACTCGCCCCACGCCGAGGACTGGACATTGCGTATACGCTACGCGCAGCGCAAGGACTCCGGGATATACGAGTGCCAGATATCGACCACGCCCCCTATTGGACACTCCGTGTACCTCAACATCGTTGGTGAGTGCGATTAGCTGTTAAGAAATATAAACGGAAATAGCTGAAACCAAAGCTCTTAAATGTCAAAATATGTCTTTAAAAGTATGTAGTGAAAAATTATATAGTTTTTGGATTAAACATAATATTATTGTATACTTTTAGACACCCAATTCGAAGTTAAAAAGTGATTTTCAAATAGTATTTTATTTTTATATCTTTGTTTTATTTTATTTTTGCCTTGAAATCAATAAGTTTAAAGTTTCCTGAGAAAACTGAATTCCTTGAGCCTTTCCAATTAAATTAAAAATTAAGGTACGCGGTTTGATTTTATTAATCAAAATTAAATCAAATTTAATATTGATCTCAACTAAAGAATATCTAAAATATTTTATTAGTGGTTTTAAAATTTTAATTTCCGTTAAATTGTTGTGTTGTACCTTTTGTTAAAGAACAAAAGCATTCTAATATGAAATATCACGTTTCAATGAGAGCTTTCCATTCGCTTTAGTTTCCTTTCAAGCCGAATATCTTGTGGCTTATTGAGGGGTCGATACAAAAGGCATAGGCAGGCTTGTCGCCATTATTGTATTAATTCCCATTTCCCCTCCCTCTTCCCCTCACCCATTTGGCAAGTTAATCAAGCCGCGTCGTTATTTCGCTCAGTGTGCCCCCAAAACTGCCGCCAATTTGTATGCCGTGCACATACATCCTTCTGCGACCATCTTAGCCATCTTAACCATCCTCTTGCTGGTCCACAGCTTTTAGTTGGCTACGTGTGAGTGATTTGCCAACTACTTTGATGTTTACACTGATATCCAATCTGGCAGCGAGAGCACAAACACACAGACACACACGAATGCTGACCACTTGATGGGGTATCTATTTCCGGGTCTCCGTTTCAGTTTCAGTTTCAGCCACCTTACCCATGATATCCCATCCCCATAACATCCCCATCCCCATCCCATTTCCACTCTGCCGCGCGGTGTTGGTGCTGCGCACATGTTTGTGTCGTTTTATGGCAGCTTTTTGCTGTTTGATGATTCCCCTGGGCACCATTTGCACTTTATGGCTTTTCACAGGCCGCCGCCACCCAAAGCCCAACGCGTGATGATCTGAGATGGAGGATGGGTATACTGGATGGGATGTAGGGATGTAGGATACTAGATACTGGCCAAAGGTGCTGCTGTTTTGCTCGTCTACTGCTGCTGCTGCCTCGGCTCATAAATCACAACTTATGCGGCAAAAAACAAGGCGATGCCAAGAAAACGGTCTTGCCTTCTTTGGAGGCGCCGCAAACTAATGACACGACACACAATATTTTGCGTATTTTAGATTTACTTTGTCATGACCGCAGCTGTGGTTACTTTTGCTGGGGAAAATGGGGAAAAGCGAGGGAATCTGAAGGGAGATCTGACATAACCAACTAAACATCTCATTCATAAACAAATTTGTTAAGATTTCTGTAAAATTTATAAAAATTATATACGAATAGGTGTCTAAAAGTATGCAACTATATATTTCGGGTCACTGAAATCACTGCCACTTTTCGGTACCTTTACAGTATATTTTCTCCTAGTTCCTGAAATTTAAAAAATAAGAATCAATTAGCGCGTCGTCCTTTCAGCTGTCCCCTCATAAATTAGGCTCTTTGTAGATATCACATTTAAATAAAAACGTCCCTCGCTGCCTCTTTTCAATGCATAATTTGTTTTATTAATTGTTGGAAAAATTACGAGCAAACTTTGAAGGAAAAGTTGCTTTTGGCGCTTTGGGGCCATGGAAGAATGGGGAAGTGGGGAAATGGAGCTTATTTCGGGGCAGGACTCACTCTCGGAGTCACTGTCAGGCCCAAAAGCAAACAAATATGAAAATAAATAATGCAAATTTGTTTATTTTTCACACTGTCACAATATTTGAATAGTAATCAAAGCACACAAGCAAAAGTTGCAAGGGCGTTGGGCGTTGGACGATGGGAGTCGGAATCAGAATCCGAATCAGAATCGCAATAGGAATAGGAATAGGAATACGAATGGCAAGGACGAAGGGACGAACATGTGTACGGTTGCATGAAGCAGACTATAAACATAAACCAAACCATTATTATAATGTCAACACAAACACACATAATTCCACTTTCAACACTTTGCCTTCGGGGTTTCGAGTGGGGTGAATATTTCTATATATATATATATATGTGTGTATATATGGGGATATGGATACGGATGGGGGCTGCAAACTGGGGCGTGGCCCTGCCCGCAGTCACGCACAAACACATTTGTGGTTGTTTGCCAGGGAACCGAACAGGCTCAGGCTCTCATTCTCGATTTGGCTCAGGATCACACCCTGAAATAGAAATGGAGTATCCTGCACTCGCAAAATAATACTTGTGGTCTCCTTAAACACAAGTAATAACCCCTTGAAGGGTCAAATGTTTAAACAAAAATATAATAAATAAATATATGTTAAAAAAAGTTTTTAAATGAAAATATAATTATGATTATATGAGTAGAAAATATATTTAAAATATTAATTTTATTATTTTTATATTTAAAAGAAATCCACATTTAATGGTTGTTTTTTTCCAGTGCAGCTCCGAGTACAGCTTTTGTACAGGGGTAAACGATGGCACTCGTCCTTCTTGTTATGCCAAATGCCAGCAAATAAAGTGCGTCCGTCTGTCTGTGGCTTCGTGACGAAAGCTTGGTGACGAATGCCAAAACGCGGCGAGTGGAGGGGAAAGGGGGGTTGAGTGAGTTTTTAGCATTTGTCAGTGACGACAGCCGCCATGAAATGGGGCAATCGCCGGCTAAGTTATTGGCCTGTGGGGTGCGACATGCGATATGCCGAATGCCAAATAATTCAAGTCAATTTCCTGGACAAACCCGAAAGCCAGAAGGTTTATGGGGACACCAGAAGTCGCCTCGCCAAATAGAAAACTATATGCGATGCGGAGGGGAGCGAGAAATACGTGTGGGAAATGTAATTCAGTTATTTGAAAAGAGGGATCTGCTGGGCCATGTTAAATATGTTTTCTTTTCGTTTTGAAATCACAAATCATTAAAAATTAAACTAACGTTTTAAAATCCCCTATTAAACTGCCTAAAAGGGCAGCACATACTGTTGCCTACTTTTGGTCGCCTTTATTGGAGATTTCACAAATGGATGGCTTAAATTGGCCAACACTTGCCCCAGGGCCATAATCACATTGCAATTCCGAGCGCCGACAGCTCTTAATGATTATCAAATGTGCACCAAATCGATTCGAACCGAACCGAACGGAATCGAACTGAATCGCCCTGAATCGAATCGAATCGAATCCATCAGTTATTCGAGCATTCCATATAATATACATGCGTGTGCGGTGCTTACCCATATTGAATTTATAATGCACGGCTGATAGATTCTGGCTTTGCATCCTGTCAACTGCAAGCTGTTTGCCATTGCCAGTCCTGCCTTTTGTCCCGATTGTTCGGACAGCCGGAGTCAATCAACGGACAAAAGTCGATTTCGCAATACGCAATTCGCCATTTGCCATTCGCCATTCGCATTTATATATGCATGTGTGTCGGGGCAAGTTCATAAGCCATCGCCCAATCAACTATTGAACCGGCGAACCGTGTACGTGCCACCGACTGTGGCAGCCATCTCATTGTCCCCGTTGTCGTTTTGTCGTTTTGCCGCTTTGCCCCATTGTTCAACGCCAAAGAGCTTGTTGCGCTCTACCGAGGGACCAATTTACCATTTACCATTTCAATTTGGCCCAAACTCTAGAGTCGCCGCGCCTTAAAGCCCTCAGCTATTCGACCAAAGGAGTGGGTCTGACTTCAGTTATAAGTTTCTTCTAATAAAGAGAGTTAGTCACACGCCTATCTTTCATTGGGCACACGTCGATTCCTTCTTGTGTCGCTGTAAGTAAGTAAATAATCTACAGATTAAGACACCTAGAACACATCATCATATCTGCGCCACAAATAAATTGCTTTCCAAACAGAAACTCCTAAATGGGCATCGCTTGGTCGAGCTCAGCAGTCTTTTTTCTGGTTGGCAAGTTGAAATATGTCGACGGTATCATAAAATCGCGCCTCGTAGAACAATGGCGACAACGGCAACAAATTTTATTACCCACAGCCGGAAAAATGAAGGTCCCGAACTTCGGGACAATTCAATTGAAAAGGCATAAAGGTTTATGAGCGTGTAAGCCTTTGCCTTTGCCATCTCACAGTTTCGGCTTCAGTTTCAGTTCCCAAAGTTCCTCTAAGTGGGTGCTTGTGTGTTGTTATAGGCAGCATTACGTTAACCTTTATGGCAGCTGGGAAAAGGTATATAAAAATCCACACCGAAATGGTGACATTTTTATGGTTCAGATTAGAGATTACCAAGCTGTTTTTTCAGTTTATAGTTTGTGTCCTTGGTTGTACTTAATTACAGGGCTTAAGTAAATAGGGAAACCCTCAGGGAATATTTTTAAAACAATTTTAAGAAATAGGATTTATCCATTGGATTCTCAAAACAAATTTTAATAAATGCTGCTGGTGGAATAAATTCAATTTAATGATCAAAAACCCTCAAAATCTTTTACGCATTTGCAAATATACTTTATAATCCGCCCTAGATTGAGTGATTTGCCAAAATGCCCATTATATTATTGAAATAAAAAAGTTTATGTTCCTTAAAGAGGTTCGCTTCTCTAGACATTCCAGTCCACACACACACATATGAGATATATCGAATGTTTTTTTCGCCAGGCATTAAAAATCGGCTTGTAAACAACCGAAAAATAAAACGACCTTTCGAGCATCATTTTTGGGCACATGCACGTTTGATAGGTTTTATTTGTCTTTTTATTGAAATTTATTATTTGATTTACATGCCTTTAAGTGACAGGCAGCAACAACACACGCAGAAACAGAAACACACTGTTTCCCCCCTTTTCATTTTGGGGTTGTGTGTGTGAGTATGTGTGTGTGTCTAAGTGTGTGCCCTTGGGCCATAAATCACATTCGAAAGCCCCGGCATAAAAGTTGCAAATTAGGCTCAAATGTTGACATGGCGATTAATCAAAGTGCAAGGCGCAAATGCAGCAACTAATTCGATAAGAGCAGGCGACTCTCCGAATTTCCGATGGTTGGAAATGGGAAATGGGGAATCGGGAATGGGGTAAGAGATACCAAAAGGGGCCATGAATCATTCATAAGCGCCGTTTACACTCCCAAAGACTCCAAATTACGTTGATTAATGAGCTGGAGTTGCTGCCCAGCCCCTTCCGAGTGTCCCAGTGTCTCTCCCGTTGCCGTTTGCAGTTTGGTCACGCACTCGTAACTTGGAACCGGCCAAGGTAAGGACAGTCGTGGTCAAAATGGTAGCAGCGAAAGAATGGCAGGGTCTAATACATGGATTTTTAGTAAAAATAGGAATTTATCTCACTGTTTTTTGCTATAACTTGGCCAAAAATGGTCTCAAATAAGAAAGACTCACTGTTTTGAACAGCTAACAATCTAAACTAACGATCCCTATCACTTTTGGAAAAATAAAAATTTTCTGAAATTTTCGCAATTTTTATAAGGGGTTACATCATGATTTTTTGCAAAAAACGGCCAAAAATTAAAATGTCCAGATTTGAACGCAAATCGATTCAGAATTAAAACACGAGTTCAAAAAGGTATGACATTCCATATTTCGCCTATTATTTCCTTCGTTTTGGTCAAAATACTGATTTATTTATTGGTGCATTTATAAAACATAATTTTATTATTTCTTTGAAATCGATCTTAGGCACTCCTCTGCTAACCGCAGGTGTATAGTTCTAAGAGTCCGATTCGGCTGGTAATTGAGTCAGTGAGTGGCGGTGAGCAGGGAGGGCTATGTGCTCCGCACGGAGGGAAAGGGATAAGAAGGATAACTAAAAATCGGCAAAGATAATCCGTTCGGAATGCTCCAAGGAGCGCATGACCGAGCGCCGTCGTCTCGCATGGAATTCCCCTTTCGGATATCGTCCCCAATCTTCTATCTTGTCCAAATTAAAAGTAAAAAGGTCATAAATTCCTCCCGGGACTGACGGAATGTGGGTGGAAAGTGGAAGGGAGGGTTGGATATGGCGATATGGCGGGTTATTTGAATGTTCTACCGCATGAATGGCATAAATAATAAACCTGCTGCATACTTCTTGGCGCTACACCCACGCAAACACACAATGCGAAAGCGTTTGATGATTTCCAGCTGCTCCCTCGTGTCGTATGCGTAATATTTGTTTAATATTAACTCGCCGCACATACACATACACATGCCACGCCCACGGGCCCCGCAGCCACGCCCCCGACGCCCACACACATAACGCCCACATGTGCCGAATGACCCGCAATTTCCTACGCAACCCCCTGCCTTTTGTCCTTTTTGGCATTGTTTTTAAAGGCTCTGTGCTCGAACCAAACCGAACCGAAGCGAGTTTTGGATCAATAAGTTTAATGTGTTGCGAACGGCAAAGTTTAAATTGCCATAAAAGCTGTCGGCCGACAGGCAAGGCAAGGAAAATAAATAAGGGCATGCAGAAAAGCAGGGAATTTATGCAGGGGCCAACAAACACGTAGTGAAAACAATTGTTCGACCGACTGAATATTTCAGGAGTATAAAAGTTTGCAGACTGAGGTGACACTTTCGAATGCAAGCAAAAGTATCTTGGGGCCTCGAGTGTTGGGGCTTTAATATTTTTTGGTATTCTAAGAAAACTTTCAGAGCAATTAGTGTAAACGATTGAAAAGCTAACAGGTATTTTTAGGGATTTATTTGATATTTTTAGAATATATTCTGCAGTTTATAACTATAACAGCGTAAAATGTTTCCCTTTTTACCAACTTTTCGCTTATGGCACTCGCGAGGCATTTGCCTAAAATCCTTTGCCTTCATGTGAAATCCCAGGAGATGCTGGGAAAGTTTTCTGAGCGGGAAACCCGGTTTAGTCGGCAGCAATGCACATCAGGTTGACCGAGTAAGCGGAGATCAAATCTGTGGCAAATGGGCAACGGGGGGAAATCACCGCGGAGAGATAGCTGCGCAGCATAAAGAACTTCAAATGGAGATTGAGAGATACGCTGGGTTACGTTGCATGGGAAAATGGGGCATAACCCAGGGAAAAACAAAAAAGGGAATATATGTACATATAAAGGAAAACCATTTCCAAACCGCCCACTTTCTTCGCTCTTCAGCCATTTGGCAGTACATAACTTTCACTAACCTTTAGCGGCGTTTTCTGCCAAGAGAGCACATTACCGTTAGGCGAACTACAGTAACTGCACTTTCAGACACACACACTGATACACTGACACGCACATACTGACACACTGAAAGTTGTTCAAGAAGCGGAAGCGCTAAAGCAGCCATTTTGCTGCTTCCCAAAATGGTGGCAAAGGGGGAAGAGATGAAAGAAGAGAATGAAGATGGCGGTGGAGATGGAAATAGAGATGGAGATGGAGAAGCAGAGGAAGTAAAGAAATCCCAATTTATTAGCATTGAACAAGAGAGAGAGGGAAGAAAAAGAGCTCCTTCATACACTGAAGAAAACAACCTACAAGAGCTTTAAATGAAAATGAAAAGAATATTAGAGATAACTAAATTAGAATTACAATGGTGCAAGCGATTAAAGTATCTTTTAATCTAAAAATATTACAAATGTTTTAATGAAAATAAACAATGAACAAAGGAACAATGAACAATGAACAAAAAATTAAAATTGCAGTTACATACTCAAATTTATTAAATTTAAATAACATTAAATAAACATTTAGGTCTATATAAACAACAAATTAATAGATTACAGATAAACAAAACCCAATTGATATTCTTTTTTTCAATTCAAGTTTAAGTTATGGCCTTTTTCACTTCCCAAGTCTTCTATTCTATTTTTGTTTGAAAACTTAAATGTAATTTCGCTTACTGTACGGCGGTCTTGACAAAAGTGTCTGAGGGGGGCGGGCTAAAAATTTCCAATTTTAGTTACGGCCAACCGAGATTTCAATCAATGTCCTTGAACTAATGACACAATTTGCTGTTTACTTTGGCCAGCATTTGAATTTGAGATTTCTGTTGTTCTTGTCTTCTCGTCTCCTCTTCTCTGCTTGTCTTTTTTTTCGATGTCACTTTGCATTTATTCCAGCTCACTTTTTGCCTTCTTTAGCCCCTTGTTCTCCTGCTCGAAAGTCAGAAATTGTTTTACGATGAATAAGAAAGTAAACAAATGTGTAGATGTCAAATGCACACATATACACACGCCGATTTTCGAGGGTTAGAGGTTACATACGCTCTGGTTACGCAGCAGGAAAGAAAACAATTTAACGCAACGGTAGATAAACTTTTCTTAAACAGGCTCAGGACGACTTCGAATGTCCTTGGCCCCTTGCCTTCGGGTACTTTTTACTTTTATTGTGTCTCTGGCTTAAACGAAATGAGCTTTCGAAATGTTTTATGCGCCATTTTGTGTGTGCGCTTATGGCTTATGAACTGATGATTTAACCCCTTCTATCTCTTTTTCCCTCTTGCAGAGCCCGTCACCGACATCATCGGCGGCCCCGAGCTGCACATCAACCGGGGATCCACCATCAATCTGACTTGCATTGTGAAATTCGCACCGGAACCGCCGCCGACCGTCACTTGGTCGCACAACCGCGAGGTAAGTCCACCCCCCCAAATAAAATCCCCCTTAAAAAATCACAAAAGCCCGCAACGAGACCACTTGACATGAGCCACGTGCCTGCATTAGACATTATATATATTCTCTTACTTATACCCATGGCCATCCCCAAGTACACCTACGTAATCCAGGCGAAATAGAGCCCCGAAGTCGCATCAATAATTACGTTTGACAAGGGTCCTGCCTGCGGCTGACTTCTCGGATCTTTACGATTATTAGTTCTAGTTCTGGCTGGAGAACTGGAGAGCAGGGGCTCTTAAAACTACAAACTGCTAAACGATATACTACCCAGAGACCCCTGGGAATTTTCTGTAATTTCTTATCGTTGGTCCGAAAAATGTCAGCAGTTAACCGATGACTAAAATAAATATGGGGTTAATATTTCGATTATTTTCTATTTAATTTTCTAATTAGCTGTAGCAAGTCAAAGTTAAACAGAATACTTCCCATAAACAGTGATGTTTGAAAAGTATCTAAAATATCGAAATGTCGATATTTTTTCAAGCTCTAGTTCCCAATGTGAATCCCCAGTCTTTATTTGTTCCTCTTATTTTTTTGTGCAAATGTCAAGGTAATTCCGTTGCCCGTTTCTATTTTTTAAGCTTTGTTCTGCTTTTCGGGAGTTGCTGGCGAAGTAAGAATATGAAATTCCCTGGCATAACGAAGCTTTGCAGCTAAAGCGCACCCTGGCTTGACTAACACGATGTCATTAATAAAAATTTAACTAACATGAGGAGCAAGCCAGGGGCCCAGCAGCCCAGCAACCCAGCATCCCGAAAAGGAGCAGAAGCACGAAAAACACAAATACTATTGCCGCAACAACTGGAAATGTAGCAATCTCGCTACAAAAAAAAACAGAAAACAGAAAAAACCAAAAAATTTGTGTCCTGGCACTTAAGCTGTTTGCCTTACCCCCCGCGTTATTTATTTCAGATCATAAATTTCGATTCTCCTCGCGGCGGCATATCATTAGTCACCGAGAAAGGTGTGCTGACCACCAGCCGGCTCCTCGTGCAGAAGGCCATCACCCAGGACTCGGGCCTCTACACATGCACCCCCTCCAACGCCAATCCGAGCACAGTGCGCGTGCATATCGTCGATGGTGAGTAGCCCGGTATGCAAAACGCTTTGCCTTGCCTAAATATGAGTGTTGTCCTTGCTGTGGGTGCACTGGGAGAAATATGAGGGGGGTAACTAGGGAAAGGGGCAGAAAAGAAGGCGGGAAAAGTGGCATAGTTAATATGCAAAAATATAAAACATATTCTGTCTTTTATTTATATTTTATTTAAAAATATTCTACTAGCTATTTACTTAATTTAATAAATATTATAACAGAAATATAATAAAATAATAAAAAGACATTAAATGACATTAAGTATATTCTATATTTTATGCAAAATATTCTACTAATAATTATTTGCCATAATTTAGTTAACTTAAAACAAAACAAATACAGTCAAGAGTTCAAGAATGATTGTTCTAGATTCTTCTGGATTTTTAATTTATTCGACTGCACAATTATTCTTCTCAGTGCAGGGGTTAGTTGGCCCAAAGAGGGGCCAGAGGGGGCTAGTCGGGGGTCACTTTGCGAATGGCCCGGCGCAGCAAGACAAATGTGCGGCGCCCAAAAGTCAACTAAGCTTGTTTGGCTTTATTTGACAGACGAGCGCGTCCAGTGATTGACGACAACTTTTTCCAAAAAGCTCGCAGAGATGTAGAGATGGATTTTGGGGAGGGGGAGGGAGGATACATAGCTGGGGGTGATGGTGCTCAGCAACAATTAGCCGGCAACTTTGCGTATGAGCAATCTGCTTTTTAGTTTCGTGCACTATCATCGAGAAGCGGAGGTTGGGGTTGAAAAACTGTGCATAGAGCTATGTTAAAACTATTCAAAAAATCGTTTGCTTTGGCATGTCACTACAAAATAAGCTTCCTAACGAACTGGGAAAGTAAGTTGTCCTTTAAACCTTTTTGCAACAAAATAATTAGAAAAAATGAGAAATGTCGTTTGTAGATTTAAAGAAACTTTGGATTTACTGAACTCAGAAAAATAAGTGTTGATAAATCTAAGAACATTTTCAACACAGATGAGAAGATTTTCTCTGTGTAATTATTATTAAAACTTATATGGAGGATTTTCAGGAATATTTCCATAAATGTTCAATTGGCTCTTCTACTTAGATCTCCTCAATTTGTTGCCAATATCTCAATATTTTCGCACACACACACAAACAGACTCATACATTCCCCCACACATGGTAAAGTAAAGTAAAGTCAAAGAAAATTAGTTGGGAAAAACTTTGAGCATCAACATTTGCGCAAGTTTTGACTCGTTTATGCCGCAGACGCCTCTCTCTTTTTGCCGTAGGAATTTCCCGGCCACTCCCCCTTTTTTCGGTCCACAGCCCACCGCCCACCGTTCGCCGCTTCCGCTGAGGCCGGAAAAAAGCGCTTACAAAGCAAAAAGTTGAACAACTTGAGCGCAAATGACTTTGGCGTGTAAGCGTGTAAGGCACGCTACAACAAATACAACAAATACAAATACGAAAAACGCCCTGGAATTAGACTAAAATAACAACAATATGAGGAAGCGGCTAAGACTAAGGCCAAGAAGAAGCAGCAACTTGTTAAGTGGAACAACTGCTGAAACTTAAGTAATTAACACAAGTTGTTTGCGCTCAACGTTGCGGGCAAAAGCGCCGCAGGGCAGGGTATTGATGCCAGGCAGCCAATTTGGAATTGGAATCGGGCAGGGGTTGCGGAGATAGCCCCCCTCTTGCTTCCCTCAAGTAGTTTAATGAATAAAAAATAAATATAATATAATTAGAATTTACACATTTTAATATTTAATATTTTAAAGAATTTTTGAATTTTATTGCTAATAAATTGCTGTATTTTTAATTATATAGATATTTTCTGGATATAAAAATCAGAAGCTCCAATTAAATTACAGCACCAATTTTAAATGGGGCTTAGTTTTATTAAATTCCTATATTTTAATTACTAAAATATTTTTATTTATAATACGTATACGTAATATTTATAATGTAATATACCAAAACTTCTGCGAGTGAACAGCCAAATTGAAATTGGCACAAAGGCGTTCGAGTGCCCGCGAATAGAGCGATCACCCCCTTCCTTCCGGTTACGCCACTGGTTTTCGAAGGGGGGATTATTTCCTTTTCCGGCAGAGTCGAACTCTTTGAGCGGCCAAGCATACCTAAGTCGGTAAATGAAAATGAGCTTTCAGCGGCATCTTCTTCGGCAAATGAGTAAAGAAATCAAGAACACGAAGTCGAGCAAGTTTTGGTTTCTTATTTCGTCGGACTGAATCCCATTTCAGGCAAGGATTCGATTTAAGCTTACTTTCGTTGCCCAAAGTTGTTTTCGTAAAGTTAAACCAAGATATTCCTTTGAAGTTTATGTACTTTTGGTGCTGCGAAAAATGTCAGAACCATTTAAGAAAATATTTTGTAAATTTTTGTAAAATTTCAATTATTTTTGACACTAATTTTAAGACACTTGTATACAAATATTTCATTGATATCATTACCCTAGTTACCCTAGTGTTTCCAAATTAGTGGTGCTAACTAAAATCAATTTGTTTCATTTGTGGATTCAGGAATGTACTTAAATCATTTTCTTATTAAACCGATGTTCTGACCCTATTTTCACCCCCAAACAACAGTAGAAATCGGACAAATGCATTCAGCATTTATTTTAATATTCTACGGTTACAGAAGCGTGCTTCCATTTCATTGTCTCGTCTGTCATCTCGAATTCATTCGTTCGTTTTTGGATTCCCGAAATCAGAGTTAACCTCTAGTTCACAGTCGTTGCTCGCATTCTGCTGCAATGCACTTGAAAAAAAATATATAAATATATTTAAATATTAAATAATAAATATTAAATAATAAATACTAAATAATAAAAATAAATATAAATACAAATAATCACTGTCATATTTATTATAGTATTTAGTAAAGTATAGTATTTGCTAGTAACATTTTGCCTTTATTCTGGTTAAAACATTACTTTCTAACAAAAAATGCTTCCAAACAAATATAAGTTAACTGATTATTACTACTAATAGCTAGTATTAGCAAGTGATATTTTCTCCCTAGTGTATTTGCCTCGCTTGTTGCATTATTGATAATTTCGTGCAGCTTCAAAGCTGAAACAAAGCCGCTTACAGCCATTTGTTTTGCCGAGCTGGTTGTCCTGTTCCCTGGACCTCTGAAGCTCTGAACGTCTGAACCTCTGGCCATTTAAGGCGATCATTACACCTAGCCACACACAGAAGTCGACTCTTTGCGGTGGCAGCACATCAAAGTCATTTTCATTAATTGAACTGCTGCCTCAGCTGCGTGGTCGAGTAAAAGACCAAGTCCGAGTCCGAGTCAAAGTCTAGCAAACATGGACCACTGGACCACACAAAATCCGGCCCCCAATCCAATTAAGTGTACTTTCTATGGCGCTTTTATCTGCGAGTGCTTGCTTTTTAACGCACTCAAAGGAGAAGTCGTCTGATGCCAAAAACTGGGGACTGAGGACTGAGGCTGTCATAAGTGGCGAATGGCGAATCGGCGACAATTCATTGTCATCTGCAGGAACGAAGGATGAAGGACAAAGGACGCAGGACGCTTAATTATGTCAAACCGTATTAACTGGGGGAATGGGAATGGAAATGGGAATGGTTCCCTTCCTCGACTCCCAGTAATTAGAGACGTTGGACGATCCGCTCTGCGCCGAGTTATTGGCGTTGTCGTTTAGCATTCGGCACGGCAAACTTTTGCAATGCTCCAAGCACGTGGTGCTCACAGATGAAATGGGAACAGTGGTTGAATCTGAAGTCCAGGAATTTAATTTAATGAATAAAATTAAAGGGAGTCACTAGATGTTTGAGATCATTTTCAAAACTGTCTAAAAGTATGCAATTAAAAATGCAAAGTGTACTTTCTGCACTTAATCACGGCATATTCTGAATGGGAATATATTGTTGCATACGTTTAGGCAGGCTTATTAATTATTTCATATCTCTAGTGGCTTTTGGTGATGATCACTCTACAAAAATACATAGTGTACATGGTTTTAACAAAAATTTGTTTATCTGTTAAAAGATTTTCTGAAAATTAAAGAATTCATTTTTAAATAGATTGTAATTTTTTCCCTCAAAATTTCCATTTTTAAATTACGCATAGTACCATGATCAATGGTTTTTCCTCTATTATTTCTTACTCCCAACTTCCTGGTTTTATTACCATAGATAATCAGCATTCAGCTGGCGGAGAAAGTGCTTTCACTAGGTGTATTAGTATTAGTACAAGTATTAGCACCACAGTGCGGCCCAGTCACACGCACATTGAGACGGGGAAACACAGAAACAGAACCAGAAACAGACACAAACGCAGACGGACTCTTAAGTAACAGCTCATGATGGGCATCAACGAACTCGTAAAGGACGAACGATGCATGATAATTGAAGCTGCAGAAGCTGCAGAAGCTACAGAAGCTATGGAAGCTGTACGGCAGACAGACTCTCGCGCATTTCATGCCAGAATTTATGGCTCCCTATCTGCCATCTGGGCCTCCTTTAGGCCCCCACCCTCCCGCTCATACACCCCCTGCAATCCAAACGCAAAACCACCCACTACGCCAAGTAGTTGGGCAGTTTTTGAATGCTGCTCTTGTTTTTTGTTGCCGTTCGCTTGCCTCTTTTTTTCTGCCTTTTTTAGCCAGTCTCCTTGGCGTTTTTATTGCCGGCAATTAAGTTAATAGGCAATAAAGCTTCTGGATTTTGCAGGGGGGCCAATGGAGATGCAGATACAGCTGCAGGCCGAGTCCCCTGCTCCTCCCAGCCTCCCATCCTCCCCCTTTTCATCTCGTCGCGAATCAATGTAGTTTAGTGGATCTGCCTCCAGTGGAAGTGGAGTGCAGTCCAAGTCCCAAGTCCACTTCCAAATTAACTTCTTGTGCCCGCTTTTATTGGTCTGTGGCGATTTCCAGCATCCAGCATCCAGGCTGTTGATTGTTTTCCCACTATCTGAATAACATTTTCGAAGAAATTTATGCACTGCTCACTTGGCTCCTCAGAGACGTAAATCAATCGGTGGTGTGGTGTGGGAAAATTTACTGAATTTAGTTAAACATATTTAAAAGTGCATAAGTTTAACCATTAGTTGCGAATGAAACGGAAAGCTGTTAACGTTTCTGTTTTATTTTCCACGAGCAAAAACTTAATTACGTTTTTTAGTTACTAAATAAATTATTATACAATCTTTTTTTTATTTTAAAAGTTACTTTGGTGTAGGCTTAAATACAATTATTTAAAAAATATGACGATTATTTATGTAAAAAGTTTATCTAAAAAAACGTTTCTTTCTGCTAAACAAAAAACATTTTTCTTATGAACACAACAAGTTAAATGTCTTACCAAATTCCAATAAAATTTTATAAATTATATTAAAATGGTAAGCAGGAATGCGAATGGTTTGGGAAAGTTTTAATGCTAGTGAAAAAGTTGAAAGAAGGTTTTGGGGAATTTTTAAATTAAAAGGACCTATCTGAATGTGAATGCCAATCGCTGCTTTCCGTCTAGCTTCTTGCGCTGCCCACAGATCACTAATCGCTTTTCATTTCCCATTTCCGTTTCCTGTTTCGTTTCGCAGGCGAGCATCCGGCGGCCATGCACACGGGCAACAACAACAACAACAACTCGACGGCGTCCCAGCCGCCGGTGCTGCTGCCCCTGGTCCTTCTCACCTGCGGCACGCTGATGCTGCTGCAGCTGGTGGCCTGCTGCTCCGCCCTCGTGACCGCCGTCGCCCTCGTCCCCTCCGCGGACACGCCCCCCCACCATCCACCGACCAGCAGCCCATCGAGAGGACAAAGCCAACAGGATCATCAGCTTCGAGGGGAGGATATTAAAAGGGAGGGATCCACAGATCTGTGCCGCAGATTCGAGAGCTTCGAGAGCTTCGGGAGGAGCGCGGTGCCCGGGACATAGCTTTTCGGAGGATCGGGAACCGGAAACGGAAACGCTGTCGAATTGCCAACAGGAATCGCATTTTAGGCTCGCAGCCCCTAAGTCCTCTTGCCCCTCTGTCCCTAGGTTCCCTGGCTTTCGGTTTTCCGTTTCCGGTTTGGTCCTGCTCCCCTCCCCTTCCCCCCTTCTCCACCACTGGAGCTTATCCTGTTATCACTAAATTAAGTAGCCAGACTAAAGGAACACACATATATATTTATCAGATTTTTCTAAAACTAACCAAAGATAGTAAAAATGTGGCCAACGGATCACAGAGAAAATTCAGAGATTGAAGGAGATATTCGAAGGTAAGTAGGAGAGATGTTTTTGGTGGCAGATAAGAAGAACTAACACTAACAGACGGAAAAACACAGAAACACCTTGTAAATAAAGCAACTCACATGGGATTTCCCTTCCTATCGAAGGAAATGTCTAATGTCCATGTGAATTCATCTAGTCAACTTCTTTCTTTTTCCTCGGTGGGCTAAAACTTTTACACACACACACACACTCAGAACGACACGTTGAAACACACATTCTCTAGTACAAGGATAAGCTATAGGTGTCTAAACATATTATAAATAAATAGCGGAGAAGAGAAGAAGAAGTTTCTGATGGGAAACCCCTTGCGATTTGCGGCAAGAATCTAAGTATGATAAAGAATTTTTTTTTGATAACTAGCATAAGTTCAAGACTATAGTAAAATGTAAGGGAAGGAGGGAAGGTAGCTAAAATGGATGGAAGATTGATTGTTCGATTAAAGGTGTACATATATAAGAACATAAAACAAATCAGCATAATTAGTCTATGGATTTTTTTTTTGTTTTTTTTTGCCTACTCCCGTATATCAGAAGATCAGAACAGAATAATCTCCACCTATATATAGGTATACATTTTGATGTGTTTAGGGCCTAAGCGATGATATTCATTATTGTTGTATGTTTGACAAACGGAAAACGAAAATGAAACGAAGTGAAAATGAAAATGAAGATGCCATTGAGAGCAGATATTGACATAGAGAACTAAACTAAAGAACTATCCAGTAATTCAAGTCGAGTATTTAAGTGTCTCTCTCTATCTATCTATCTGTCTCTCTCTCTCTATTTCTCTCTCTCTCTCTCTCTCTAAGCAAGAAAACACAGACACATAAGAACGGTAACCTTAAGCCAAGCTAGTGGAAAGATAGAGAAACACACACTCGAAATAAAGAAGCAGAAGCAAATCCGCGATCCCACCCCAGAGAAAGGGTCTAACCCTACCATCCCAAGTCCCAGCCCCTAGAAATCTCATTCGTTTTCGCTCCAAATGAAAAAAAAAGAAAGATAATATTCAGAATACTCTCCGTACTAAGCGTAATTAATGGATATGAATATGAATACGAGATGGTACCACTTAGTATGCATAAATGTAACTGACGAAGGAACAGAAAACGAAACCCAAAGGATATATTTTATGAATGTGATGAAAACAAAAAATAATATATATATATATGGAAAACCCTAAACTAAAGACCAAAACATTCAGAGAAATCATGGAAGTCAAATCTTTTCGATAAAAGTGTGTTGAATGTTGCAGAGCTCCTTTCAAAGGCCAACCAATATCAGAAATCAGAATCACCCCCAACCCATCCCCAAACCAGAAGATTTTCCCTTTGCAGGGAGCCGCAAATGCAACCGCATCTCAAGTTAATGTATTTGTAAATGTATCTGTCAGTATCTTTGATTTTCCTCTCCATCTATCCGCATGCACTAGTCTAAGCAGAACTTAAAAGGAGTGTTTAAATGTTTATAAGCAAATTGAATGTAATTCAATATCAAAACCCGAAACCAGAACTTAAATACAGAAAAGGCGCATAGCAAAAAAAATAAATAAAAATAATTAAATAAAAAGGAAAAAACAGAAACGAGAACAATTTCTATGTATAAAATAAGGTGAAATAAAGTCCATGTTGCAGATGCTAAACCTATGAATATATGGTATATTGTAATTGAATGAAACCGATATAAATATGTAAATGATAAGCGATAATTAAAAATGTGTTGACCCCATTATTACGTTCGTTCGATATGTGTATATTCATTTTATGAAGCTCTTTTTTCATCACTTGTTTTCTTTTCTTTGTGAGTCTTTTTTTCTGAATTTTTCCGTTTCTGTTTTTTTTTTGTTTTTGTGGTAGAGTTAATTAAAGGAAAAAGTAAACAGAAAATGCGCGTGAAGAGCAAAAACAATTTTAAAGTAAATATGTTAAATACAATTTTAAGCATAAACAATGGCGTCAAAAGCAAACAATTTTAATGTGGTTAAATAAGAAAAATGCCGAATTCAATGGAAAATATGTGTGTGTTGTTCCAATTGAAAGTCGGGACACTTTCAAATATTACAATTCATAATAACTATAATTACGAGAAGGCTAAGCGAATGGGATCCTACCATCGATTTCGAGTGGAGCAAAGTAAAGGATTCAATTGCATGGGCTGAGAACAGATTAACGAAGGTTACCGCTAGGTCACCAGTCCACACACATACATTCATACACTAACAAAGACACACACACACACAGTCAGACAGCCAGAAGAACCATGCAATTTGAGCCGAAAAACGAGAGATTCGATCACAAAAACCAAATATGAATTCAATAAAAGTGTAAAAAAAAAAAGAAATCACAAACGCTGCATTTTCAATTCGGAGCTGGAACAATGGTCGTCCTGTCACCCAGATGTGAACACTTTGTGACCGTTTTGTGGCCATTTCCCCTGCAATTGCGAATCGGAATTCCATTCGCCATCCGCCATCCGCATTCGCCAGCCTTTAATTTGATAGCTCACAAATTTGTTGACACATCCAAACGAATTCACCCAGAATTAGAGGAGAAACTGGTGTGGAAAAAATATTAAATGAAAAATATACGTTAGGGGTATAATTTATGCATACGCCGCTTTTTTCCATCCAGCTGTTGATGATGTGCAATTAAAAGTACATGGCTCCCGTGTTTGCCTGTGTGTGTGCATGCATAAAATGATGTCAACTAGGCAATTAAGTTATGGCAGTCTGGCCCAGGTGTTAAAATTGCTACCAAATCGATTAGCGCGCGGCACGAAATGGCGAAGGAGAAGGTGCAAATATATGGCTGGCATAACTTGTGGATCGGGTAAGTAAATGTGTGAATATATTTATGATTAATATAAAAACTGGTTAAATTCTTGTTGCTAAATAACTTTCAAAAGTGACTTCTTATAACAATGTGTTGTATGAAAATTTAAACATGATCGTCAATAGTTTTTTATCTTGTTTAGAGATGTTTTTAATGAATAGTTTTAAACCCGTATTTTTTAGCTACCCAAGAATAGTCACAAACCCCCATTTCCCTACAACAGAACAATAAAACGATCACTTTACAAATTGTCTCCATAGTATAGAAATTCATTTTCTGCTATTATTTAACGAGCTTGCCAGTTTTTCTGTTACAGATGATTTTAAAATGAAAAAGCTCTGCTTGCAACTTAAAGTTGCTCTCGTTAAAATCCGATTGTCCACTCCATTTTGATTTATTGTAATTAATATTTAATTTACTAGACGGCTTCGATTGCCCAATAGCTCTTCCTCTTTCTCCGCCTTTCTATCTGTCTCTGTCTGTGGTCGCATTGAATGTTTTATTTGATTTAATTTCGAACTGTCAGCTATGATTGCACTGCAGTTTTTTGCCTTCTCTTTTATTTGTCTTTGCCCGCTGTGGGGTTGGTTTTCCCTTATTTCATTTCATTTATTTTATTTTACATTTTTGCAGGACTTTTGCATATTGCCTTGTTTTTTGTAGTTAAATTAATTTGCATAATGCATGACACTTTTGAATCATGGACGACGTTCGCATCCCATCCTTTATTCCAGCCATCCCCTCCAGAAATCGATGTAAATGCAAATGGCCATAAATTACGACTCCCCCTTTGTCTCGGAATATTAACTTAATTAGTTGAGCGTTATTCCTCCTTCTCTCCGGCGCTCCGCGCACTTTTATTTGCGAATTTAATCGCAATTTTATTAAATGTTTTTATAATGAGACAGAGGCGGAGACTCTTCCTATATGGAATATTAATAATAATATCCCAGATCAATGATTGCTGGCCTGTTGGGCTGGCGGAGCGATTGAAATCGTCGTCATTGTCTGACAGTTTTCATTAAGGGCCTTAACGTCCGTCCCCGAAAAGCGAAAGGCGAAGGGAGCGAAAGGACATTCGGCCAGGACAAACAATGTCAGAGGCATCGGATAATGCGGCTCCGGCTTTGTGCAGCTCATTTTGATTGCATTCTGCGCCGACTGAAAGCCATCTGATTGTGCCAGCAACTGGGCAAATGTCCCTTTCCCTGTCCCATTGCCCAATGCAAGTCCAGTCCGGACTGCAGGGGACTCCATTGAAAGGGTCCGCCAAAAACTTAATTGGGCATTAATCGGGGAAAATCAGGATTTTGATTTTTTGTGCAAATTTGACAGTTTTTTTAATCGATTTTTTGCTGTAACTTGTACAAAAATGCTCCCAAACCAAAAAGGCGTACTGTTTTGAGCAGCTAACAACCTAATAATTAATATTAGTACACTTTTCGTGTGATTTAAAAAAAATAATTTTGGACCCAATTTTCGCATTTTTGATAAGGGGTACCATCATCATTTTTTCCGAAAAATGGCAAAATTTAAAAATTTCCAGGTTTAAATGCCAATCGATTCGGAATTTAAGTACAAGTTAAACGAGGTATTCCACGATGTATTTGGATCATTATTTCCGTTGTATCGGCCAAAAAACTGATATTATTTGTGCGCTAAGTTAGGATCTGTACTGGTTTTTAAGACAACAAAACGAAGGTAGCGAAAGGTTTTCTTAATTTCCCTCTTAATTAATTTCTGTTGAGATCTTTGTGCACTTGAAGCTCTCATTTACCTCTCAGCCACCCATCATCGCATTTGATTTCGCAACTAACCTTTCTGGACAGGACAAACCTTTCCGCGTTGAACAAAGGAGTTCTTTTGTGCTGTTTATTCCCTTCAAACTTGTCCCATG